TGGGAGAAGGCGAGGGTGGGATGTTTCAAGAGAACAGCATCGAAACATGTATATTATCTAGGGTGAAACAGATCACCAGCCCAGGTTGGATGCATGAGACAAGTGCTCGGACCTGGTGCACTGGGAAGACCCAGAGGGATCGGGTGGAGAGGGAGGTGGGAGGGGGGATCGGGATGGGGAATACATGTATACCCATGGCTGATTCATGTCAATGTATGACTAAGACCACTATAATATTGTAAAGTAATTAGCCTCCAACTAAAAAAAAAAAAAAAAAAAAAAAAGACCCTGAGGTCTTTTTGATTGAGGACAGGAGGAGAAGGGGACGACAGAGGATGAGATGGTTGGATGGCATCATCAACTCAATGGACATGGGTTTGAGTAAACTCCGGGAGTTGGTGATGGACAGAGAGGCCTGGCGTGCTGCAATTCATGGGGTCGCAAAGAGTCGGACACAACTAAGCGACTGAACTGAACTGAAACATAGAAATAATCTTATCTAGATGGTTGTGTATATGGGGGAGGATTACATTTTCCTCTAAGCAATGTAATATTTAGGAGCTTCCTGATAGCTCAGTTGGTGAAGAATCTACTGTGATGCAGGAGGCCCCAGTTCATTTCCCATGTCAGTAAATCCACTGGAGAAGGGATAGGCTACCCACTCCAGTACTCCTGGGCTTCCCTTGTAGCTCAGCTGGTAAAGAATCTGCTTGCAATGCAGGAGACCTGGGTTCAATCCCTAGATTGGGAAGATCCCCTGGAGAAGGGAAAGGCTACCCACTCCAGTATTGTGGTCTAGAGAATTTCATGGACTGTATAGTCCATGGGGTCACAAAGAATCAGAAGTGACTGAACAACTTTCATTTTCACCCTCATAGACACATATATTTAATTTGAAAATAAAAATCATATTTATATTTTCTTTCATCTGCAGTCTTATCAGTTTTGCCAGAATCATTTACACATCTGTTTTCTGTTTTATAATCTTCGTGTCTGAACAAAATTCCTAATCTTTTGAGAAAAAAACATTAAATAAATATTAAATATTATAATAATTCCATTTTTGTGAGGATGAAGTAAAACTGGAAAACAATTTTATGTTAGTTTAATGAGGTAACTTGAAATGCTTATATGATTTCAAACTTACAATCATGAATTATGTAATATCACTTTTTTATGGCTAACATTTTTGATGTGTAGTGATAACCAGCATTACTTTACATATATTCACAAATAAACTACCTTCTTCAACATATCCTTGCTTACTTGATTTTTACATTAAATAGAACAAAAGTGGAAAGTAGCAGAAATGTTATATTAATGTTGACTGGAATCAGTAAACAATAATTTACTTTCAGGGCATAAATTTTCAAGCTTCCTCTCTATCTTGACAAAAGATGACTAATTTCTTTTTGTTTTTTTTTTTTTTTTTGGTTTAGTCAGAGACACAATTCCTTTACTCTTATTCTGAACAAATGGAAATACATATTACTTAAGTCCTCTGTGGTTTAAAAATTAGTGTGTGGCATAATCAAGAGGATGATTTAATATGGCAACACTACAGGCACTGATACTTTTCAATAAATACTGATGCAAAATTCCATACTCTTCTATTATTTACCTTTAGGTTTCAATTAGTCTTTGGTGACTCCTATAGCTGCTACAGAGTGTAAGTTACACTGGTGTTACTCATCTTTGAGCTCATATGCCTCTAAAATGAATGAATTAAAGTGCCTTCTAAAGGAATCTCAATTATAAAGATATATTGAGTTAAATGTAAAAGGGCAGAAAGTTTCTCATGCATTAATATATTAATATAAAACAAAGTAGATTTTCTGCCCGTGGATGCCACCGAGAAAGCATCGTTGAAGACTTCCCCACCTCCATTGCCGTCATGTCTAAATCAGAGTCTCCCAAAGAGCCCAAACAGCTGCGGAAGCTCTTCATCAGAGGATTGAGCTTTGAAACAACCGATGCGAGTCTGAGGTGCCATTTTGAGCAATGGGGAACACTCACAGACTGTGTGGTAATGAGGGATCCAAACACCAAGCACTCCAGAGGCTTCGAGTTTGTCACATACGCCAGGGTGGAGGAGGTGGATGTGGCCATGAATGCAAGGCCACACAAGGTGGACAGAAGAGTTGTGGAACCGAAGAGAGCCGTGTCAAGAGAAGATTCTCAAAGACCTGGTGCCCACTTAACTGTGAAAAAGATTTTTGTTGGTGGCATTAAAGAAGACACTGAAGAACATCACCTGAGAGATTATTTTGAACAGTATGGAAAAATTGAAGTAATTGAAATCATGACTGACCGAGGCAGTGGCAAAAAGAGAGGGTTTGCTTTTGTAACCTTTGATGACCATGACTCTGTAGACAAGATTGTCATTCAGAAATACCACACTGTGAATGGCCACAACTGTGAAGTGAGAAAAGCCCTAACTAAGCAAGAGATGGCTAGTGCTTCATCCAGCCAGAGAGGTCGAAGTGGTTCTGGAAACTTTGGTGGCGGTCGTGGAGGTGGTTTTGGTGGGAATGACAACTTTGGTCGTGGAGGAAACTTCAGTGGTCGAGGTGGCTTTGGTGGCAGCCGTGGTGGTGGCGGATATGGTGGCAGTGGGGATGGATATAATGGATTTGGTAATGACGGAAGCAATTTTGGAGGTGGCGGAAGCTACAATGATTTTGGCAATTACAACAATCAATCTTCAAATTTTGGACCCATGAAAGGAGGAAACTTCGGAGGCAGAAGTTCTGGCCCCTATGGTGGTGGAGGCCAATACTTTGCCAAACCACGAAACCAAGGTGGCTATGGTGGTTCCAGCAGCAGCAGTAGCTATGGCAGTGGCAGAAGGTTTTAATTACTGCCAGGAAACAAAGCTTAGCAGGAGAGGAGAGCCAGAGAAGTGACAGGGAAGCTACAGGTTACAACAGATTTGTGAACTCAGCCAAGCACAGTGGTGGCAGGGCCTAGCTGCTACAAAGAAGACATGTTTTAGACAATACTCATGTGTATGGGCAAAAAACTCGAGGACTGTACTTGTGACTAATTGTATAACAGGTTATTTTAGTTTCTGTTCTGTGGAAAGTGTAAAGCATTCCAACAAAGGGTTTTAATGTAGATTTTTTTTTTTTGCACCCATGCTGTTGATTGCTAAATGTAATAGTCTGATCATGACGCTGAATAAATGTCTTTTTTTTTTTTTAATGTGCTGTGTAAAGTTAGTCTACTCTGAAGCCATTTTGGTAAACTACCCCAACAGTGTGAAGTTAGAATTCTTTCAGGGTAATGCCAGGTTCCATTTGAAATTTATTTACAACCTGCTTGGTGGAGAAGCTGTTGTCTTCAGAACCTTGGTGTAGTTGAACTGACAGTTACTGTGTTGTGACCTGGAGTTCACCATTAAAAGGGGCACCCATGCAAAGTTATGGAGATTTTTTTTATTTTTTGGTTTTTAATGATTGTTGGCACATCCTATGCAATATATCTAAATTGAATTATGGTACCAGATTAAAGTTATAGATGGGAGTGAAGCTTGTGTATCATCCATTATGTGTAATCAAGAAAAGATTTAATACCCTCTTGAAAAAAAAAAAACCAAGTAGACTTTACCAGAGAAATATTACTAAGAATAAATAGGGCATTAAATGATGAAGCTTTGAGTTTATCATAAATTAGCTTCTTATTATTAGTCTAGAACTTAAGGAAGGCAATTTTCCAAGTTGATGTTTCTATTTTAACTCTGAAGTAAGCAAATCACTCAATTTTTGTTGTTTTTGTTGCTATAATTTGTTTTTCTTTTGCTTTGCTTTGATTTATCGGTTGCTCAGGCAATGAAAATATGATTTCAGGAAACTGATATGTTTTCAATGTAAAGAATTGAAGAATTTTTAATTTTAAGGAAATAATTAAAGTAATTAGCCTCCAACTAATAAAAATAAATGGAAAACAAAAACAAACAAACAATCAAGTTATGGAGAATATGCACTTCTGGTGGCACTAGTGGTAAAGAACCCACCTGCCAGGGTAAAAGTAAGAGGCTTGGGTTCGATCCCTGGGTCGGGAAGATCCCCTGGAGGAAGGCATGGCAACCCACTCCAGTATTCTTGCCTGGAGAATCCCACGAACAGAGGAAACTGGCGGGGGCTACAGTCCATGGGGTCACAAAGAGTCAGACATGACAGAAGCGACTTGTCATGCATGTACTTGACTCTATCTTGTTACTATGTATAGAAAAGCATGTATAATCCTGCTGTTAGGAAGGAGAGCAGAAAGTAAAACTGGTCGATTTCCACTTGTTTTTTTTTTTTTTCCCTCAGGAGAATGTCTGGACAGTAGATCATACTCATATAGAATCCATAATGTAGTCCTTGAGAGACCTTGGAGAAATTTTTACTTGCCTCTTTCTTAATATGGATAAAGGAGCTATCTTTATAGGACTGTAGGCAAATAAGAGTGATAACATATGATATCTCTGTGCACTCATTCCTCTACATATACACCTTCATTTACATCTGCGTATATACACTAAGTGTAAACTTAGATATCTTTAGTTTTTAAATTAACCATAATCTTTTAAAATGCAAAACCATAATTTTAAATAATGTGATAAATTTCTACCCAAGATATGATGCACCCGAGTTTAAAAAAAAAATTCTATTTTTCACTGTTACCTTTCCATACTGTTAGAATTCTAAACAATGGTACAATGTAGCTTTGAAGATACCTTTTTTCCCTCAATTTTATCAAGATGTACTTAAATTAGCTCTTTTAATAGCTATGAATAAGTCCACCTGCAATGTGGGAGACCTGAGTCCAATCACTGGGTTGGGAAGATTCCCTGGAAAAGGGAATGGCTACCCACTCCAGTATTCTTGCCTGGAGAATCCCATGGATAGAGGAGCCTGGTGAGCTACAGTCCATGGGGTAACAAAGAGTTGGACGAGGTGGAGTGACTCACTTTCACTTTCAAGAATAAAACATCTCATTAAAAAATCATATAATTTTATGGCTTTCAATGCTAAGACTTGGGAAATATGTTATCAGTGGCTTCCCAGAAAAATATATACCAGAGTTACATCTTTCTGTGTCCTTATTGACACTTACCACTACTATTGTAATAAATTAAATCCCTTTGTTAATTTGATAGGTAAAAATTATGATAGCCAACAGCATATATTGAAATTCTCCTTTTTATTCTACACAATTACAAATGTAAACGTCCTTATGAGCCACTAATTTCAAAGAAAAGGGTCATGCTCCCCACAAGGGAATTGTACAAAGCCTCACCTACTACAAATTTGTGAGACTGATAACTGAATTAAAACAAATAGCTTGTATTATATAGAATCACAACTGAGTGACTGAACAGAACTGATCTGATATAGGATCATACAAGCTGCCATCCTACTTTGGTGGACTGACTACATTTTTCAAGGAAAGAGTTGGTCTTCATCAGGCTCTAAAATATATCACTGACTCTGTTTCAAGATCCAGCAAAATATCTAATTGAATTCATCAACTTAATTTATTTTGAAAGATTAAAGTTTGGAATTATATCAATTTCTGCTGATACTTAAGTTTTAATCAGATCATCTGAGATACTGAACATTATGAATTATTTGATGATTGTATTTTAGACTGTTTGTTAAAAATAAAAAAAATAAAGAAAGCCAAATAATAAATAAAGACAGTGTTTGATGCCAATATTATATTTTTCTGAAGTTAATATAAATGTGCTTTCTCCCTTATTCTTTTTTTTTTTTTTTTCAGGAGAAACACAAAATTTATCATTTAGTTTCTGAAACCTGACATATGGTATAAATTTCTCCTGTGGGAAAGTTCATTATCATTGAATTATCAGAAGCTTCTGAACTGAGAGTCTTTCTCTCCCTGTTCTTCCTCCTCATAGATGAGGTCACAGCTTTGGCCAGAATGCACATCCCTGCACCAATTCAAGACTATGCCAGTTTATTCCACCTTCCTAGTATAGTCTGTTAATTTTTTGATACATTGCTTTGAGCATCTTAAATAAAATTAGATAGGATATGCATAATAAATTTTGCATATGATAACATACCATTTTGCAAGCCACAATATAATAATATGCTTCCCTGAGACATTCTTAACCTGTAGAAAAACATATTACAAAATATCATTTTGTGTTTAAACAATTCCTCAGTAGAACTGTAAATATATTGGTAAATATCCCCACTTGGATTGGGGTACCAATATGTGTTCCTGGAATCAGATGTGAGATCAGAAAATTAGTCTCAAAAGCCTCAGAGAAATATAAAAGGTCTTGAATTATTCTAAGGAACAGTAGTCTTCCTGAGGGAAGCACAAATTTCTCCTATGAACAGAGAAGGCCAGCCAAAATGGATTATAAAAAAATATTGCAATAGGTCAATTTTTTCTATCTTTAAGTATCAAAATTGCCTTTTCCAGTGAAAAATCAACCACTGCTGACTGAGTATATAAACAAGGTGATTGAAGAAGATAGTGATCTGGTAAGTATTCTTATCTTAATCCCAGGATGTTAGAACTTGATGGGATTTTAAGTTCTTATCTTTCCATAGTCACTTATTCTACATGTAGAAACTGATAAATAAATTTTTGAGATTAAACATTCCCAGAGTAACACAAATTTTAAGTTCTTAATGTATGTCTAACAAAAACAATAGCAGCAATTAAACCCAAACATTTGACACATGATATTAAGACAATTCTCACTATATTGGACTCTGATTAAGAATCGAAATGATAACACTATTCTAATCACCTATTATTTCTTTTTAAAGCATGTATAGATTTTCATATCAATTAAGGCTGACTCGATCTGTTTATTATATTATTAATCTTCTCTTACAGTATTGCATTAATACCAACATACAAGTGACAGTACTGGGGTGGGATTACAAGAATGGCTTTAAGGGAACAGAAAACTAAAAATAAGCAGTGATTAGTGTCAATAAACAGAAATTCCTGCAGGAATAGATGATTTTGCTAAGCTCTTTCAAAATCCTCTGTTTTCATGCTCACCTGCCAAGTACATAGAAAGATAGTAGTTGGTTCCTCAATGGAGTCTGTCTTTTGTTTCCTGTATAGTTTTCCCTTTCCATTTGTTCTATTTAGCTTTAATATTTCTTTTTGGAATCTTGGCATTTTCTTTCCAGTGAACTTCCAGATGTTCAAGCTTGTTTTAGAAAAGGCAGAGGAACCAGAGATCAAATTGCCAATATCCACTGGATCATTGCAAAAGCAAGAGAGTTCCAGAAAAACATCTATTTCTGCTTTATTGATTACGCCAAAGCCTTCGACTGTGTGGATCACAATAAACTGTGGAAAATTCTGAAAGAGATGGGAATACCAGACCACCTGACCTGCCTCTTGAGAAACCTGTATGCAGGTCAGGAAGCAACAGTTAGAACTGGACATGGAACAACAGACTGGTTCCAAATAGGAAAAGGAGTACGTCAAGGCTGTATATTGTCACCCTGCTTATTTAACTTATATGCAGAGTACATCATGAGAAATGCTGGGCTGGAAGAAGCACAAGCTGGAATCAAGATTGCCGGGAGAAATATCAATAACCTCAGATATGCAGATGACACCACCCTTATGGCAGAAAGTGAAGAAGAACTAAAGAGCCTCTTGATGAAAGTGAAAGAGGAGAGTGAAAAAGTTGGCTTAAAGCTCAACATTCAGAAAACTAAGATCATGGCATCTGGTCCCATCACTTCATGGGAAATAGATGGGGAAACAGTGGAAACAGTGTCAGACTTTATTTTTGGGGGCTCCAAAATCACTGCAGATGGTGATTGCAGCCATGAAATTAAAAGACGCTTACTCCTTGGAAGGAAAGTTATGACCAACCTAGACAGCATATTAAAAAGCAGAGACATTACTTTGCCAACAAAGGTCCGTCTAGTCAAGGCTATGGTTTTTCCAGTGGTCATGTATGGATGTGAGAGTTGGACTGTGAAGAAAGCTGAGCGCCGAAAAATTGATGCTTTTGAACTGTGGTGTTGGAGAAGACTCTTGAGAGTCCCTTGGACTGCAAGGAGATCCAACCAGTCCATCCTAAAGGAGATCAGTCCTGGGTGTTCATTGGAAGGACTGATGTTGAAGCTGAAACTCCAATACTTTGGCCACCTGATGCAAAGAGTTGATTCATTGGAAAAGACCTTGATGCTGGGAAAGATT